GGACTCCATGAAAGCAGTGGTAAGAGGAAAACTCATAGCTCTAAGTGCCTACAAAAAGAAACTGGAGAGAGCATACACTAACAACTTGACAGCACATGTGAAAGCTCTAGAACAAAAAGAAGCAAATACACCCAAGAGGAGTAGACGGCACGAAATAATCAAACTCAGGGCTGAAATCAACCAAGTAGAATCAGAAAGAACTATACAAAATACCAACAAAACCAGGAGCTGGTTCTTTTGAGAAAATCAACAAGATAGATAAACCCTTAGCCAGACTAACCAGAGATGCCCAGAGACAGTATCCAAATTAATAAAATCAGAACTGAAAAGGGAGACAAAACAACAGAAACTGAAGAAATTCAAAAAATCATCAGATCCTACTACAATAGCCTATACTCAGCAAAACTGGAAAACCTGGATGAAATGGACAACTTCCTAGACAGATACCTGGTACCAAAGTTAAATCAGGAGCAGACGAACCATCTAAACAGTCCCATAACCCCTAAAGAAATAGCAGCAGTCATTGAAAGTCTCCCCCCCGCCAAAAAAAAAGCCCAGGACCAGATGGTTTTAGTGTAATAGTACTTTTCTAGTACTTCATGTCTACTTGCTCTTTACTCATGGACTTAACCAGAACAACTTCTGAGCCTACATGCTTCATTCTTGGTTTTAAGTGCCTTAGACAGGTATACCGTAGTTTTAAAAAGTACATATTCCTTATCCCTTCTATGTTTTGACACATATAGGTACCACTATACTATAACTTCTAACAGTATTCAGTCCAGTAACATGTTATACAGGATTTTAGCCCAGGAGCATTGGGGTTTACTAGTGAGCTTAAGTGTAGAGTATGCTAAATAATCTAAGTTTCTATAAGCACATTCTGTGATATTCACACATTTGTCTTGGGTGCCCTATGTAATTATTAGGCTGTTTTGTTTTCCTGTGTACAAGTAGATGTTTCTTTTATTATTTGTTTTACTTGCTTATCTTCATTAAGCTTATGAAGCTGTGTATTGATACCAAATTAAATAAACACTTTAAACTGTCAAAACTTGTAGTGATATAATAAATCAAGTATTGCATGGGCTTCAATAATATAAAAAATGGTCCTTATGCGTTTTAAAATGGGACAATAAATGCTTATTGAGTGTTCTTTCCTATAATGGTCAAGTTTGTATTTCTAATAACTGTATCTATTATTTTTTCCCTGTGGGCCAACTTGTTTTTGATAATTTTCATCCCTCTGTTAGCTCACTGAGATTTCCAAATATTTTCTTGTAAACTCATTTTTCAAAAAAAAAAAAACAATTTTGAAGATGAGTTGAGCTACATTTACACTCTGTATGCCTATGTAGAGTCAAACAAAAAGTCTGAGGCATCAGCCAAAGTAAAGGAGACATAAAGTAAATGTAGACTTACCAAACTTTCATCCTGTTTTCACTCACTCTGGGTCCCAAAAGAATCAAAGCTTTGGTGGGTGTTTTGTTTTGTAAGCAAAAGCAGCTTCTAAGTGCCTGGTAAGATTCATAGTCACTACTAGTTTTGCAATGTAATGAGGCTTGAGTATCATGTCCGTGTTTTAAATGTGAGGCTATTTAGCTGTAGCAGGAGAGCTACATTGTATGCATTCTCGTAGTGGTGGAGGAAAGAATATCCACTCCAATTTTTGTAGTCTTTTAAAATATGTTTCTATAGCACTCAACCTTAGAGAGCTTTTGCTGTCATGTTAGAGTCATCAGGACATTTTGTTTTGTTTTTTTATTTTTTATTTAGAATCTTACTAGGGAGTCTAGGCTGGTTTCCTATGATTCTCCTGCCTCTGCCTCCAGTATTATGTTTCAAAATACTGCTTTTAAATTCTATTGTGAAAATTAATTTTATAGTTCTTGCTTATTTATAAGGGATACTAAAAGAAAAGGTGTTAGAATATCATCAGTTACTTCAGCAACTTCTACCCTTTCATTTCCTATCATTGCTTGATAGTTTTTCTATATTTTATATGCAGTTACTCCTTAGAAAGTATTTTTTCATCTTTAAAAAATCCTTTTGTTATTGTGTTTGTGTGTGTATGTCTGCCTGTCTGTATGTGTGTGTCTGTGTCCCATGATATTTGTGAAAGTCAGAGGACCACTTGTTGCTGATGTCAGATCTCTCCTTTTACCATGTGGGTTTCTGGGATTGAACCCAGGTATCAGACTTGGTTGCAAGCACCATCTCACATTTTTTAAAAACCAATTATTGTCATCATCTTGATAATTATATTTAAGAATGTGATCTTAAAGAGGCTATGTATGTTCCTTTCAGCATACTCAACTGAGTTGAAGTGATGATGCATAGTTGATATAAAGATGATAAATTAGTTTTAAGCTACTGGCTGGTTTCTTTCTAGCTGTAGATAAAATGCATTTGTTTGTCAGGATTACTAGTCTAACATGAAATAACTGGTGTTTTTGGAAGATGATTTATTACCTTCCAGGGTCTATATGATGGTCCCCAATTTTATTTTCTCTGATGCAGTAGGAATAAGTTGGTTTAAAATTCTTTAAAACTATCTGAGGCCCTAAAACACTTCTTTGACTTGGCCTCTACTTTCTATAAAAAAAAAATCATTTTTCAAACTTTATAGTTTATCAAAACTCTAACTGAAGTCATGTCCTTTACAGCTTAATGGACTCATAATGCATGATTACACAACTTCAGAACCCATTTTGTTAAATGAAGTGGTGACATTTTATGCACTATTAAGCCAACTAGAATAATTTTCCTGCTCTTAGCTGTAACTTCTCTGTGTCCTTATTGAAAAATTTCTGGGGTGTGTTATAGAAGGTTTTGACAGGAGGGAATGTTCCTAAAGATATGTGGAAACAGGGCCCTTTTTCCATTACTCCATCAAGAAAAATTAGGCAGACAAAACTTGTAAAATGGGAAAATGGTTGAAATGCCCCCGTTTGTGTTATAATGCATTAAATTATATTTATTTTATGATTGTTCGATTGGAAAAAGTGGATTTTAAAATTATTGCCTTGTTCCTTTTTAAAATGCCTTACTAACTCATGAGTATGTGTGTATGCATAAAATAAAACACAGGAACTATACTTGTGCCATCTTAAGGATTTGAAACAGCTCAGGATGACAGTCTTTCTGTTTTGTATAATATGAGCAGTTTTATTTCTCTTTCTCTTTACACAATAAACTGCCTAAAATACAAGCAAAGGAGTTTTCTGAACTTTATGAGGGTGATCATAATATAAAAGTGCCCTGTGTTTTATGATATACTGTCCTGAGTTTGTTGTATGTTAGCTTCTGCCCATTCAGAGCTATACAAAATCACATAGAGTTATATAACTTTTTTCCTTTTTGAAATCAATTTGAATTTGGATGTAATATGGATTTCATGAAATATAAACTTGTAAAAGAATATAAACATTTATTAGTTATTCTCTTCACTTGAGCTCTATTGTTAATGTGTTTAGAGTATTTTTTAAATTTTCTTTCTATTAAAACAGCCCAGTCATAAACATTGTTATAGCCAAATTTTTGTTTCCTTATTTAGTATTTTTTAAATTTTAGTTAACTCTGGTGTAAAGTTTTCTTTATTAAAGTTTTATTTTTATTCAGCATTTGAGTTTCATTATGAGATTTTCATACACATATCTTACTGTGTATGGCTTGTACTTGCTCTATGTCAACTCCTCTTCTCTGGCTCACCAGTCCCTTTCCTTTCACCTGCTTTCATATGTACATACCTATACTTACATAACACATTTAAATTTAAATTATTCAGATGATAAAACGTGATATTTTTATTTTTGCCAATGACAATACTCCCTTATGTCATTGTCTTCTCTTCTTGTAGACCCTTTCCTTTTAGCACATAATCCCCCTTCTAACTTATATATAAAATGTATGTTTGAATATGTATTCTTCATTCAGTATTGACTACATACATGCTGTCAGCCATTCCATTTGGTATTGAATTGTAACTATGAATACAAAATAGAGTTATGTTAAAATGGAATTAGTGTTCTAGTAGAAGCAGATGTCAAATAATTGTACTGCTACACACATACACACACACATACACACACACACACACACTGACTTTTTAAGAAAATTACTTGTTTGCTTTTTTTTTTTATTTGGGGGTGGTGAATGCTATGATGCCTCTGGGAAGATTAAAGGTTGATAGTTCTCTTTTAACTATGTGGATTTCAGGGATAAAACCTACTTCATTAACCTTGGTGGCAGCTGTCTTTACCTGATGCTGGCTAGCCCTATTTATGTAGTTTCTGACTGAAATAGATCCTCTCAAAGAAAGGAATCATGATCTATGAGAGAAGACAGACAAGGGGCCTTTGATTATAGGATAAACTTACTAGATATGGAATAGAGTGAATACAGGGAGATAAGTTAGGAGGCTATTACACTGGTTTGGGTTGGTTTTTTTGGTAAGAATTAATGATAACTTAAATTATATTAGTCATTGGAAATGGAAAGAATTTGACAGATTCAAGAGATTTTTCAGGTAAAACCGATTCAATTTAGAACACAGTAGTCAGATTATTTTTGGCAGAAGTTTTCAGAAGTAGATATCTGCAATGTTTTTGTGAATTTCCTAGATTTTTATACACTTCTACATCACTAAATTTCGGTTATAGCTAGTGAGATTGCTCAGTGGATAAAGGTGTTTGCTGACAAACCTGACAAACCTGAGTTCCTTTCCAGGAACCTTCTTGGTAGAAATGAAGAACTGATTCTTAAAAATTCCATCTTTTGACATTCACATGCATGCTTTGCCTTGCATACACACACACAGAGATACATACACATACAGAGAGAGAGAGAGAGAGAGAGAGAGGAGAGAGAGAGATGAATGAATGAATGAATGAATGAATGAATGAATGAATGAATATACTATAATAATTTCATTATAATATAGGGAAAAACATTTATACTTGAAATGGCATTATTTACTGCTTTGTTTTCTCTTTCAACAGTTAAAGGATGTTGATACCAGAAAAATCATTAAAGCCATGCTTTCTTATGTGTGGCCCAAAGACAGGCCAGATCTACGAGCCAGAGTTGCCATCTCCCTGGGATTTTTGGGTGGTGCAAAGGTAAGGCTATGTTTTGTTAAAAGATACTATAACTTTTTCTAGTGATAAACTCTGAGTTGGTATAAGCAAGTTACTGTCAGTGGAATGTGGTCTACTTTGAGGACTTTCATTGCTTTACATAATTATTTCATTCATTGAGTAGAAATTGTATGATACAAGATGATTTCTGAACCAAAAATCTGATAGTCATAAGTTAATGGAATTCATTCTTAAAATAAGTATATAAGCTGCAGAAACGTTGTCTGTAAGAAAGCATATTGAATTCTATAAAAGAAGTTCCTCAGAGCCTTGGCGGAACTTATTTCTGATAAATTGAAAAGGAAAAGACAAAGCACATCTGGAGCCATAAGAGCCACAAAACCTGAGTGCTTTCAGTGTTTTAAGTGTAGGAACCCATGAGATATTTTAAAGACCCCCCCTCAGTTTTAAATTCATGTGTCCTATTATTTGCTCGTTCTTTCCCCTGTCCTGAAATATCTTGAGAATGTATACAAAATCTTGTTTTGATATTCACTGTATAGTATCCAAATGAAAAAGCTAAAAGATTCATACAATCTGAAGAGAAACCAGAGTATACATATTCAAATGTAAGTGAGGTATGTAGATAAGGCAAATTTCTTCTCTCAAATCATACAAGGGCAAAGCAATTTTATTTTATTACTGAGAGACAACATGGGACACAAATGATTTAAAGAAATACCATTCTATTGTTGTGGAGTTTTAGAGGAAAGATAGTAACAACCACTATGGTGAAGAATGAGGAAAGATTTTGCAGAGGGAATGACAACTTTTAGAGTCCTGTATAAGTCAGATTGTTAGAGAAGTAGAGATAATTTGGACAGTGGCCTAGTGAGAACATATAGTATGTGTGAGAAGTACATAATCCATCTTGGCTCCATTGAACAAGTAGTGCTTCAGAGGAATTGGAAGTAAATTTAGAGAGATTAAGTTCCTAATATAAAATACCTTGACCATAATGTAAGATTCATAATGTGAAAACTAAGAGCTCTAATATTGAATAAGCATACTAATATGTTTAGAAGTGTGCTTTAATAAATTAATCTGGTTCTGTTGTAGAAGAGGATTAAAGTAGTACCAGATCTACTCTAGGGATGCCATCCATCCATTTCATGTTTTCATATGGCAAATATTTTCAACTAGTTATGAGACCAGTAGTAATCTAGGTAAGGAGTAACAATAGACTGTAGTGAAGTCATGGTAGAAAAACGATTATGAGAGGGAAAGATACCAGAAATGTTGTGAGGCAGAGTTAAGACATAGCAACAAGTTAGTTATAGGAAACAAAAATCAAAGGTGATGCCAGGAATGCGCTAATGGTACTGCTTTCAACACAAGTAGGTAGTAAGTCAAATTGTGTTTGTAGAATGGAGATAGCACTTTTGGACATGTTGAGATGCTAGCACATCTAGATAGAGAGCAGTGCATTCAGGAATACAACTACAGAGCGAGCTCAGGAGACAGACCAAGGTTGGAGAAACAAAGAGATGATAGTCGAAAGATTACAAATTAAGGAGATTGCCAAACACATGAACAGGACAACTGAGGCCAGAACCTTTGCTCCATACAGAAGTAAGCAGAAGGAAAAAGTCAAGCCATAGCCATACTCTTCATGTTTACATCTTTCTCATCTGAGGGCTCTGTTGAGGACCTTCCCACTGAACTTGACCCATTCCTGAGGAGAGCGATTGAGCAACTGATCATTAGTCTATACTTTACTGTATTTATTTAAGCTGAATAGAGAACAGTATTAGAAATTAAGTTCGTAGCTAATGTTGAAATTTTTAACATTCATGTACACTTTTCCATAGTGTTAGTGTTATCTTTTACATACACATTATTAAAGAGAAAGATGACTCTGAGCTACTGTTCAAGGGAGAAGTAGTGAATTGGTCTTTATTTCTTTATTAGCTAAATGTATATACCTTGTTAACAAGTAAAAGGCAGATGGTTTTCTGGACTTTCTTGTGAATTGAAGAGGGCAGGTTAGAACATGACTAATTAGTCTAGCTAAAGGGAGGAGCTTTCAGTAATGACATTTACATTAGGATTTATTTTTAGAGTGAATCCCAGTCCTTCAGAAATACAGATTTCTGTTGCTTGGTGACAGGTCAATATCAAGGTGTGAAATCTAGCTAAGCTAACATCGTTGATGATTGAAATATTTTTAGAACTCTAATATTTGATTCTTTAGCCAACAAGTAAAACTCATAGAATGAAAATTGCTGTTCCAAATTCTTTCAAGCTAATTAGAAGGCAACCAGAATGTATAGAGAAATGCTTTTAAAATTATATTTCTCTTAGATCCGGAAAAGGAAGAGGTGAATGGAAATTATGAGTGCTTATAGAAAGTAGCATATAGAAAATACTTTTTTTAAACTGAAAATAGATTCTTTTGTCATACAGTATATCCCAACCACAGTTCCCCCTATCTCCACTCCTCCTAGCTCCTCCCCACTTACCCTCCCAGATTCACTCCCCTTCATTTCTATTCAGAAAAGAACAGACCTCCAAGAAACAACCAAACAAGATATAATAAAACAAGGCAAAAGCCCTTCTATTCGGGCTGGACAAGGCAACACAATAGGAGGAAAACTCCCAAGAGGAGCCAAAAGAGTCAGACACATGCTTCCATTGTAAGGAGTCCCACAAGAACACCAAGCTGCACAACTGTAACATATATGCAGAGGACCTAGCTCAGACCCGAACAGGCTTCCTGATTGTTTCTTCAGTTTCTGTGAGCCCTTCTTAAGTGATTTTGTGGGCTGTGTTCTTGTGTCTTTCATCCCTTCTGACTCCTACAGTGTTTCTTCCCCCTTTTTGACAAGGGTCTCTGAGCTCCAGGAGAAGGACCCAATGGAGACCTCCAACTCTCTCTCTGTCTCTGTCTCTGTCTCTGTCTCTGTCTCTGTCCCTCCCTCCCTCCCTCCTTCCCTCCCTCCCTCCCTCCCTCTCTCTCTCTCTCTCTGTGTATGTGTGTGTGTGTGTGTGTGTGTGTGTGTGTGTGTGTGTGTGTGTGTGTGTATGCGCACGCACATAATGTCTGATTGTCTTTGTTCCCACTACCATATGCTGCTGGAGGAAGCCTCTCTGTTGATGATTGGAAAAGTCACCTATATATAAGTATTTTCAATGAGCTGAGTGGAAATTGTCCTTGGCAACTGGGCCCCTTCTGTCAAATTTTACAGAGCATCCTTTGGCCTAGCATCATCCTGGGGTGTTTAGAGGTCTTCATAGGACTCCCTTGGCCAACAACTCAACTGAATGTAACTTAGTCCCTCCACTGGAAGCCTTGTCTGGCTACTAGAGACGACCAGTTCAGACTCTGTGCCCTCAATTACTACTTAGTAGGATCACCCTCATACGTTCCAAGAAGTTTCTATTGTACTATTTCCACAATACCATCAAATACCCCCAATTTCAGCTGTCTCTGTCCACTCTTTCTCTCTCCATCCGATCCCACCCTCTTCTGTCTCTACCCACCCCAACTCTACCCTTAAAATCTATTCTATTTCCCTTCCCAGGGAGATCCTGGCCTGCACCCTCCCTCCCCACCCAGAGCCCTCTTCTTTACCTAACCTCTCTGGGTATATGGATTATAGCATGATTATAATTTATTTAACAGCTCATATCTACTTATAAGTGAACACAGCATTATTTTTCTAGGTCTGTGTTACCTCACTCAGGATGATATTTTCTAGTTCCATTCATTTACCTTCTAATTTCCTGGTGTCATCATTGTTTTTAATAGCTAAGTAGTACTCCATTGTGTAAATGTACCACATTTTCTGTATCCATTCTTCCAATGAGGACATCTAGGTTGTTTCCAGATTCTGTCTATTATGAATATACCTGCTATGAACATAGCTGAGCAAGTACCCTTGTGGTATATGTTCTACTATAGTAAAACATCTTTTTGAGTGTATGCCCAGGTGTGATATAGCTGAATCTTTTTTTTTTTTTTGGTTTTTTTCGAGGCAGGGTTTCTCTGTGTAGCCCTGGCTGTCCTGGAACTTACTCGGTAGACCAGGCTGGCCTTGGACTCAGAAATCCGCCTACCTCTGCCTCCCAAGTGCTGGGATTAAAGCCATGTGCCACCACCGCCTGGCCATATAGCTGAATCTTAAGGTAGATTGGTTCCCAATTTTCTGAGAAACCACCATATTGATTTCTATAATGGATGTATATGTTTGTACTCCCAGCAGCCAATGGAGGGATGGATGTTCCCCTTGCTCCGTATCCTTGTCAGCATGAGCTGTTATTTGAAAAAAAGTCTTTCTTTTTATGAGAGGTAATTTGAGACATTAGAACATAGTAATATATCAGTGATTGTTCTAGACAACATTTTCTAGTTTCTAAAAGTTATTCATGTTCCAAATCTTTTAAAAAATGATAATTATTTTTCTTCTTACTGTGGTACAGTTATTTTGTAGTTGATTTGCAAAGGTGGATTGTTGTACTTTTTATCCCATGATTATTCTTCTTCAAAACTGAATTCATATTTTGACTTATGAATACTTTGTACTAATGTAGGCTCCAGTATATGCTAGTTTGTCTAACCTCCATATAGTCTATTTTTTGGTGTTATGTTCACATTCTCAGTTTGAATTGAATGCCATCCAGATTAGATCTTTTATAATATATACTTTGAATTATATAAATTCCCCTGTGTTGTTTGTCTATGTCCTACATATAATGATAAGCTATAAATTCTATTTTATTGTTTGCGGATTTTTGAGACAAGATGTCATGTAGCTCAGGTTGGCCTCCAATACGCAATGTAGCCAAGGCTGGCTTTAAACTTCTGCTCTTCCTGTTTCTACTTTCCAAGTGTTGGGATTACAGCTGTTCCTTAGCATTCAGTTTATTCAATACTAGGGATGAAGCTCAAGCCTTTATACATGTTAAGACAAGCACTCTTCCCACTAAGCTTTATCTCCAGCCTGTAATTTTATTTTGTATAATTCAAAATACTTTAAAAT